CGCCGCCGCCGCCCATTGGCGGCCGCGCACCGGCCGCCCAAGATGGCGGCTGCGGCCGCGCCCCCGCTCACCGCTCCCGGGCGGTGCCGCCCGTCCCTGCTCAGCCCCGCTCTCCYTGTGGACATTATTCCCCGTATCCAGCGGGAACCTCCGCTAGGGCGGCGCGAGGCCGTTTCCGCTTGTCCCGTGGAGGCCGGCCCGGCCTCGCTGCAGGCTCCGTCCCGGTAGTTGGAGAGAGCCATGAGGTCCCGCTGGGGCTGCCCTTCTCCCGCTGGAATAACGGCAGCTCCCTGCGCCAGCCGGGCAGCGCCGCAGCGGGTCAGACCCAGCTGCGTGTCGGGCAGGAGCRCCCACATCACGGGGCCACAGAGGGGCTGAGGTTGGAAGGGACCTCTAGGGATCATCTARTCCAAMCCCCTGCTCCAGCAGGGACACCCAGAGCACGGGGCACAGGGCGGCATCCAGGCGGGTTGAGAAGATCTCCAGAGAAGGAGACTCCACAGCCTCCCTGGGCAGCCTGTGCCAGGGCTCTGKCACCCTCACAGGAAAGAAGTTCCACCTGAAATGGAGATGGAACTGCCTGTGTTTCAACTCATACCCATTGCCCCTTGTCCTGTCACTGGCCACCACTGAGAAGAGCTCAGCTCTTTCCTCCCTRCACTCTCCCCTCATGTACTTATACATATGGATCATATTCCCTCTCAGCCTTCYCTTCTCCAGGCTAAACAGGCCCAACTCCCTCAGTCTCTCCTCATACGAGAGATGTTCCAGCCCCTCAATCGTCTTGGTTGCCCTCYGCTGGACCCTCTCTAGGAGCTCCACGTCCCTTTTGTCCTGGGGAGTCCAGAACTGCCCCCAATAGTCCAGGTAAAAGGCAGGGACGAGCAGCTCTGCAGTTTCAGTTCCACAGAGATCCAGATGCCAGGTGTGTATCACAAGGTTATGGGAAGGAAGGGGGATGCTCAGCAGAGGCCTAAGGGAAAAACAACAACCCTGCGGTGTGGGGATAGGGCAGGGAGAGCGGAGACACCCCCCAGGCCACGGGTGATGGCAGAACAGGATTTGAAAGTGGCAGCTTGACCCTGYGTGGGCCGCAGGAGAGCTGCCACGGCCACTTTAAACACTTCCAAAGCTCCTGGGGAAAAAAAAAAAAGAGATGGATGAGTTGTTAATAAAGTGGTGAGCTCTTAGTGATGGATGCTCTTSCAGAGAGCCAAAATGTAGGAAACGCTCCTGTTTTTTTCAAAATGCCAGTAATTGCCAAGGARGAAAAAATGCCTCTGCTGGAAAGGTCGTTTTGTAAAAACCTGATTGCCAGGGATCTTGACATGACTTAAATTTCCTTCAGAAGGATATAGGGCAGACCTGCTGCTAGGGGTACTGGGAAAACGAAATACAAGGCATCTCTGAACTGCTTTGTGATCTGTGGGGACAAAGCGAAGAGCGGGGCTGATCAGCCATCCCTTACCCAAATATTGGAGCAGGGGGTTCGGATTGTGTCCTGACTGTGCGATGACCACGGGAGAGGTTTGTTACAAATCCTGTGCAAGGAGAAAAGGGGGAATGTGACAGCAACAAACAAGCAATGCCTGCCATTGGTTTAGGYTGTCAGAAGCAGCAAGGCCTGTTCCGTCATCTCTGGATTTGTGAACGAACTGAAATTTCTTTTTCCTTGGTKGTCGCAGATTCTTCCAATACTGATGCCTGCAGAGTGGAAAATACCGAAGCCCTTCACGTTCAGGAGGAGGAGAAGTGACTCTGCGCGGTTCTGTGCTCACCGGGAAGCTTCGTAGCACCGGTGCAGAACTCGGCTCCGTGAAGAACGGCGAGGGGGSTGATCCTGCAGCAGGGCTTTCCATTTAAATCAGCATTTCGCCTGGGGCTTTTCAGCCTGTCTGGTAAAGACACTGGCAGACCGGGAAGTAAGCAAAATAAGCGAAAATATATAAATCAGAATGTATAAAGTCTACTGTTATACAGAGAGATTGGAAAATTCAGAGAGGCCAGGCTGGGTAGGATGTGGCTGTAATGGGTGGTGGCAACGAGCAGGATTTCTTGTTTCCTTCATCTGAGCGTAAGGGCGAGGTTAAAGCCAGAACGATGATGTTTGAGATGGTGAAAGAAAAACACACGTGGGAGCCAGGGAACTACAACTCGGAGACTATGGAAATGGAAAACTCTTAAGGCTTGTGGGTTGTTTTTGTTTTCAATATTGCTTCATTCTATATAACAATTAGCTGCTATAGGCCAGCTGCATTAACCAGTGCAGGTTTTGCTGCCGCTGTGGCTGTGCAGTGTGGCGCAGAGCTGCTCATTCACGGGGCCCGGGCTGTGTGGCTGGCGCCGCCGCTGCTCCCGCCGGCCCCACTAAGAGGCCTTTAGCAGGGGGTGGCTTCATCCCCTCACATGAGAACTTGTTATCCGTTCTCGGCTTTAGGGTCTAGAAAGGGGGGCTGGCCCTCACGGAGCCTTTATAAGTGCTCAGATGGATAGTGCTGAAATATTTTTGCTCTTAAATAAGATCCAGAGCGTTCAGCCTGCCTTCTAAGGTGAACTGCTCTTAGAGATGTTCTATTCCAGCAGCAAAATAGTCATTTTCTGTCAGTCCTCCCTTTTTGAGTCCATGCAGCAGGTGCTGACAAAAATCGACCGTGTATCCAAGGGAGTCTTGCTAAAGAACGTGCTGGACATCCAGGAGTTTGTGAAGGAAGAAACTCGGGGCTGCTGCCAGCAGCTCTTCCTGGTCAGGTAACCTGCCTGGCTGCCCTTTCCCTGCAGCTAAACCATGGGGCAAACTCCCTGCAACAGGCGATGGGTCTGGCCGTGCGGGAGCGCGGAGCGGCCTCTGCTCCTACAGCACGCTTGAGTATTCGAGCCCACATTACGGGAAACCTGCCTGTTGTGGAGGGTGAGTGAGCAGATCCTGATCCCCTCGGCACGTGCAGGACAAGAGGTGCCAAATTGACAGCTTTGGCTTTATTTTATTCTTTGTAAAACCTGAAGTACTAGGGTTTTTTGAGCGGGGAGAAGGGGAGGTAAACTTAGCTAAGTTTCTTGGTTCGTATTTGCAAGGATGAGCTTTTCGTTTAATAAACTCATCATTCAGGAAATCTGCAGTGCGCAGGAATGCACTTTATTAACATGGTTTTATAAAACCCATGCGATTGTGCCAGGAAGTGAACAGAACTGTGCAGAGGAGTTAGGTTTTAATGCAGCGCTTCCCCTCTCTGGCTCCACCAAATGTTCAAAAGCTGCTACTGCCTGACTAAACGCTGCTGTATTTGGGACACTAGAGAGAGTCCACTATTCTGATTAACAAAAAGGCATTCAGTTTAGAAAACACTGATAGCTCTAATATTAAAAAAGCCATGCCTGCCCAATGTAATTGAGTGATATTAGGAAGTTCACCAGCCTCGGCTGGTTTAGCTGCCTGCCGCCTGGAGCAGAAATGGCCAACACTTCATTTAGGAGGAGGTTTTTAGGAGCGACCTGGCTGGGAAGCTGCCTCCTCTGGTCCATGTGTTCAGCAGGTGCAGTGAGATGGCACAGCTGACAAATGTACAGATGGTACAGAGACAAATGAATGACATCCAGGGCAGCTGCCCCTGCATTTTCTCTTCAGTCCGGGCTGGTTTCAAACCTTGATGTGGATCTCACGTGGAGCTCTGCAGCTGCGCCCTGACCCACAAAGCAGAGACGCGCGCT